AGTTCACATACACACAGACCCGGAACAACAATCTGTGACTCACACAAAGAGTTGTTCCGTGCGGGAATCGAAACCGCGACACGTTGCGCGGCAGCCAGTTGCCCAGCCACCGCGCCAAACGTGCAGTCGAATTAATATAGTTCTATGATTAGACTAAATTTAAACTAATATCAAAATTATAAATACAAATTACTGGTAATTAAGTAGGTATTTTGTTAGGACCTCTACGAAGTTCGTATAATTAAAACAATGCCTTGTTAAGTAGTAAGACAATGAAAGACAATCCGTTAATGAACGAAATACTCTTCCATTTACTATTAGGTTCCACAAAATATTCAGTGATATTGGATTTCACGTCCACGAGCTGAGCTCTGGATGACAACCGGGATGTTGATGTTTGTCTATATATCTACTATATTTGGCTCAAAGGATACTGTTACCTATGGCTAGTTGTTTTCCATTAAAGGACTTTCTTTGGAGGCAATAAAAGTTCTCGTCATACCAGAACTAATCTTTTACAGTTAAAAAGAATATTGTACACAATGCTTCTAAAAGGTACGAACAAAATACTGAATTACCAGTTATTTGTATTTATAATTTTAATATTAGTTTAAATTTTGTCTAATCATAGAAATATATAAACAGCACGCAGGTAGGTAGGTAGGAACCTATATACACAATTTTCGATAATTTGAAAATCCAATAATACTCAGCTTCGAGTCGAAACCGAGATCCCTTGCTTGGCAATTGGGATGATAACAGGGTATGAAAATATTAAAATCTAATTAGTCCATAAGTTAGGTAATGAAAAAATATTAGACACGTATTTTTTTATTATGTCTTTACTAAAACAATATTTAGATAAAACGAATCAAAATTTAGGTTTGGGGGCTAAAACGTCATTTCTACATATAAAATGTAGTACATAGAAGTGACATCACGCGATATTTCAAATCAATATATCGTCGAAAGTATTTGTTTCTGTAAGAAAATAAAAAATACGTGTCTAATGATTAAAAATAATCTACTATACAGACATTAAAATAAAAATTAGGCATCTACCCATCATTATTATCATCTATTGCATTTGATCATCATGGCGGTTAGAAGCAGTTCCTACTGCTTACATAATAACATAACTTTGGAAAATTTTGTGTTAAAGCGTCGCCTGGTATCCTTACTTCCTTACTAATATAATATTATAAATCTGAAAGTGAGTTTGTTTGTTTGTTTGTTTGTTCCACTTTCACGCCGTAACTACTCAACCGATTGCTTTGAATTTTTGCAGACGTAAAGTTAGAAGTCCGGATTAAATAATAGGGTACTTTTTAATCCGGAAAAAATTGACATTCCCAAGGAAAAACAAAAGTATTGGTATAGATGGCGCTGTGTGTATTGGTATATGTCACATAGGCTACTTTTTATTCTTTTGTGACGCGAGCGAAGCCGCGGGTAAAAGCTAGTTCATAATAACAGAATAGGCACAATACAATCACACATGTTACGTGCAATATTCATAGCAACGTGTTATTGCGAAATGCAGACTGACGACTGACGCAAATCACTGTGATTGGACAGTAATGCTGGTTCCACACTATATGCCGATCTCAGTTCATCCTCCACCCGATCTCGGCCTGGTAAATTTTCATTGTATCAAAACTTTACATAACATAACATTACGCCTTTTATCCCCGAGTCGGTAGGCAAAGGTTTAGGTTATTATGCCACTGTACAATGTAACACCCACTTTTCACTGTTTATATTATAAGCCATGTAATAGGGGGTGAGCCTATTGCCATATACCGGGCACAATTCCAGACTCCGTGCTACTACTGAGAAATTTTAAAAACCTAGTAGTACTATGCGCGACCAGGGAATCGAACCCGAGACCCCTTGCCCGGCAGTCGCACTTGCGACCACTCGGCCAACGAGGTAGTCAACCTGCTTGTTCAACCAAATAAACAAGAAAAATAATTCTTTATCTTTATAATATCATACCAGGCCGAAACTGGACGAGATTGAACTGTGAATCAGCACTAAAGTGTGGATCGGCCCTAACGATCGCCTCGTTCCCAATGAGGCTGGTGTTGCGTATAATGCGTGTATACTCCACGCCTTCAATGGTTCATCGAGTTTGCGTCAATAAAATATTATTATAACCTCCGAGGGCTGCGTACTTCAAAATAGGTATAAAAGGGATGTTATTATACAACACCCTTGAATGTCTACTGATGAGAGGTTCGTATTTTTGTGTCAATATTCTCTTTACATTTTTGTAATTTTATGCCTGTTTTTAAGATTCTGTAGCGATTAAAAATCGTCTGGACTCTCAACTATTTAACCATGCTTCAGCTTTTTAATTTTTTTATTCATTATTATAACTGCCTCGTTGGCCGAGTGGTCGCAAGTGCGACTGCCGGGCAAGGGGTCTCGGGTTCGATTCAGGGTCGGGCAAAGTATTATTGGATTTTCTTAAAAAAAACCTCAGTAGTAGCACGAAGTCTGGAAATGTGCCCGGTATATGGCAATAGGCTCACCCCCTATTACATGGGACTCATAACATAAATAGTGAAAAGTGGGTGTTACATTGTAGAGGTACAGTGGCATCAAGTGCCGAAATGTGCACCTCTGCCTACCCCTTCGGGGATAAAAAGGCGTGATGTTATGTATGTTATTATTATAACTGATGATTTGATATTCTGTGTGAATATTGGCTTAGTTACCTACACAACTTTAACAAGATCACGTTACATAAATTACAAAATTCACAATTATGTAACCCATACTGGTAGTTTCTATGTAATAATTTCTGTTATAGTTAGGTTTACAGAGAAACAAAGCTTATATAATCAGAATACAACGTTCACCTCATATTTGAGGTTTCAAAATTAATTGGAACGCTACAAACATAAACGTAATTTTGATGGAATTGGTTCACTATCACTATACAAGCCTCTGTTTGCCGTAGGCATCTTACCCTGTATCTATGAACTGGCTTTATGAATATGTTTGTTTGTTACAAATGCGCTATAAAATATTATGTTATGTATAGGGACAGTATAAAGATACACCCAAATAATTAGCAATCATTAATGGGAGCCTTTCTACCCAGTGCATTTAGCCAATTGCGGTTTTAGCGCTTGTCTACCGAGAGAATAAAAAACTAAATGTATGGGGATGACACTGACAAGTGTCATTTACGTCAATCCCATATAATTTAGTTTTTCTACAAGTAGACAAGCGCTATATGGCATTTGGGTACAGCTGCTGAAACGATGGCGCGTATCCTACTTCGGTAACCTAGAACATCAAAGGTTCCACAAGGGCGTACTTCTGGAATCTCTGGTATTGCACGTGTACCTACTAGGTCTGTAGTGATCGCTTACCATCACACAGAGGGTTAGCTCGGTTATCACTGGAGATTTGTAAAAATAATGTATAGGAATTGACATTGACAGTACCTAAAGTTTTATTTCAAGTCCATACACCGACTTCTGTCTTTAGATGCAATACCTACCAATAAACTATTTGTCTAAGGTAAGCCCCTTCCAATCTTATATAAATAACAGTGAATATCCTACGTGAGCGAAACCTTGATGTCAATATGATGGTTTTATAATTAAAATGGCTGTAGCTCGTCGCAGGCGTGTGACAGGTATAGCTGTAACCCAATTTTAAGCTTTTTCGAATGAACGACGCGACGTCGAGTTTTAATGGCGATGCACGTGAAAATGGGTCTCTCATATTTTTAACTGACTTACGCTGCATTTTTTGGTACATGGCTTTCATCATCATAAACTGGAATACGTCCACTATTGAATTAAGACCTGGATTTTATGAGGTTTGTCATTATCCCCATTCTAGGTAGGCTTATTGGTTTGGGGATCTCAGTTAGTCCGCTAAAATTTTAAATGGATGCTAAAGGAATATGAATCGTGGTTGTGGTAAATAATTAAAGCGTATTTTTACTTTAATTAGATGTTTTATTTAGAAAACACTGTAAACTGAGTTTTACAAAGACAGAGACAATGGGAGTGAACAATAGTGGCGCCATAGACAAAAAAAATATTTTAGTTGCGTTCCTATTCACTAACAGATGCTATACTGCTCGTAGCTTAGTAACAAAAACGCGAATAATACTTTGTCCTATGAACCATTTTCTATAATAATGTGTTGTAACCTACTTCTATTTATCCAAAGTTCAATAGGATTTACGTTTTCCTACAGAGAACGATCAATATATTGTATCCAGTGCCGGACCGAGGCCAAGTTAAGAATGGAACATATGCTACAATATGGCGGACCTTATTTAAATAATTTCTTTATTATTTCGCATTTTAGTACAAAGGAATGAGCGCTGGTTCCTTCTTTTAGTACTGCATGTTGCTTTTCGTTTTCAAAAAGAGGAGATATTTTTTGGAAATGAAAAAAGTGGTTTCTGCGTCGGCCGGCCTACGATGGGTATTCTTCCTAACTTTTTAAACTCTAGTCAATTTTAGTACCTAGTTATTCAGGACAAAACGCGGTGACTACTTCTACAGGAGCTGTGACGACGACAAATAGAATTGTTCTATTTTTAAAAAAACGTTGCCTCATGACTTTACTCCTGCGTCGTGGGTGCATTTACAAGTTCACATACTCATGATATCCATAACAATTTGTGAATCACACTGAACTGCGTATTCAACTATCTAAACTTACGTTAAAATTGCTATGTAACAATGCTGGAATGAATAATAAAGTACTTTTGCTTTATAGAACTCTCTTCCAACAGTCAGATTAAGATTGACTAAAATATCCTAGCATTTTTTTTTATATTTGATGAACCGACGTTTGACCACTATCTCGCCTGGTGGTATGCGATGATGCGGTCTCCGATGGAGCACGTCGTCCCATAAGCAACCTATTCACTCGATCCTTGGTCTTATTTCATCTTCTGTGAGGCTGTGGGTGTTTATCGTAGAGCTGACAGAATTAGGAATAGTCTAAACTTAACATACCCGGTAGGTGGTAGTGTTGGCAGCATCCGTAGGTGGCAGGGACAGCAGCGCGAAGGGCAGCAGCAGCGCACTGGACATGCGCCGCGGCCCCCCCATCACTGCGCACCATTCGCGCGCGCACGCGCCTTCCTGGAACAAATCGGTACTTATTAATCCCAACTTGGCTAGTTCGGACTATTTCCTAAAGTCTGAATTAAAATCTGAATAATTCAGTGCCCGATTTCGGTGACCCTGAAATGGAAACCTTGCTCCACAATTGCACTAAACAATTGTACTTTCGTACTATTGAAATTTCACCCTATACCCCTAAGAGCTTAGGGTGAAATTAATACTTTATTTAAATGCGTAGTTGCTCTATTTTCCATAAATAGTTCTACAATAACTTTACAATACGATCCTGAAATACTTTGGCTTCGTCCTTTCTATTCCTACCCTACCTATATCATGTAGTTCCGCTCCGACACCATATAAATTCACACTGCAATTTCTCTTTCATTTTGTATTTTATTTACCACATCAGAATTTCATTTCAATACCATAGAATTTCTTTCTTTTTTTTGTTGCATAAGCCGGTAAACGAGCAGACGGATCACCTGATGGTAAGCAATCGGCGTCGCCCATGGACACTTGGAAAACCAAAGGTGTTTCAAGTGCGTTACCAGTCATTTGGGGTTTTAGAAGTTTGAGGATCGTCGGGAATTCTGAGATTGGGGAGATTGGGAACCTCACTCACACGACGAAACACAACGCAAGCGTTGCTTCACGTCGGTTTTCTGTGAGGCCGTGGTATCACTCCGGTCGAGTCGGCCCATTCGTGCCAAAGCATGGCTCTCCCAAACTTAATTTTCTCTCTCTGAAATAAACCTTCTATTTCCACACTTAAAATAAATAATAATAATATTAAAAATATTTTTAATATTTAATGTAAGTGTCTGCAATAATATTTCGTGTATTGTAACACGAAATATTATTACACACACAGCTAAACGAAGTTCGAGGTAATAACAAACTTCAGCGCCTGTCACAAAAGTGCGATAGAGCTGTTGTAATAAAATTGAGCCTTCTATTTGGGAAACAACACCCACACAAATGGCAGAAGAATAAGGATATTTTCATGTGTGATTGACAGGTTTACTGGAAGAATATTATATCGTGTGTACGGGAGACTTATTAAACTGTCTTCGTCACACTTTGTTTGAATTGAAAGGTGTCGTAAATTTATATTGAAACGTTTAGCGTATAACTGTATATGGGTTACTTAACGGTGGACTGATTGTGTTCTAAGTAGGTATAGTAAACCACCTGATTATATTCTTTTTCCATAAGGTTCAGGCAGTGAATGATTGCCTCGTAGGCCGAGTGGACGCATGTGCAACTGCCGGGCAAAGGGTCTCGGGTTCGAGTCCCGGGTTGGGCAAAGTACATACATACATAACGTCATGCCTGTCTCCACTGAGAGTAGGAAGAGACTATGGAACGCAATTAACGCAGCATTACTATGATTCCTACATATCTCTTTTGCTTCATCAATAGTCATCAAGCTTTTCATGTATGCTCGCCGGTTAAAGTATTATTGGGTTTAAAAAAAATCTCAGTAATAACACGGAGTCTGGACTTGTGCCCGGTATGTAGCAATAGGCCTACCCCCACATAGGACTCATAACTAGCAAAAAGTGGGTGTTACATTGTACAGTGGCATTGAGTGCCGTAATGTGCACCTTTGCCTACACCTTCGGGGATAAAAGGCGTGATTTTATGTTATATGGTTCAGGCCGTTTCAATTCGTATTTCGACGTAAACATTAATTACATAATATAGTAACTACCATGTTCTTGTCATGCTTATATGGATACCAATAAAAGAAAATTGTACTATACCTACCTCTGTCTACTACTTCATTTACAGTTAAACAGACCAATGTTCCTTAGGATTAGAGAAAAGGCATTCACAAAACTTGAAAGAAAATATATTCGTGCAAACGAGGTCGCATGCGGAAGTCCTGTAAATCACATCACAAGGACTAAGGAAATCTTTTTATAAATTCGTGTATTGCCACCTAAAATCCATTGTACAGAGGATTCATACTTCTTGATGTACAGAGAATTCATACTTCTTCATACTCTTACAGAGGATTCATATTTCTTCATACTCTTGATATCTTGATAAAATAGGACATACAAAAATGCGAAATAGCAATAATCGTAGGTACAGTTTTACAATAAAAAACTGCGTTTAAAAAAACCGTCTTCAAAAACCAAAAACAAAAGTAAAAACTAAAAAAAAAAACACTATTATTGGTCATGCGTACTTATAGCTTACACACCCACTGGTAGGTGAGAAGTCGATGCCACAAACCCTTAACAAAATCTATAGGTATATAGGTATAAAAGAAAGTCGTGTTAGTTACACCACTTATAACTCAAGAATGGCAGAATAGATTTGGCTGAAAATTGGTAGGGAGGTAGCTTAGAGCCAGGAGACCGACTTGGATACTTTTTAACTAATTTTTTTTTTACTTTTTACCGAAAATCACGAACGGGGACGGGAAAAAATGGTATTACGCGTACGAAGTCGCGGGAAGAAGCTAGTATAACTTAAGTAATGGTCACAGAAAAGAGCGTACTCCTTTTTAAAAGGCCGGCAACGCACCTTTGACTCCTCTGGTGTTGCGGGGGTTGCCTCCATGGGCGACGCTGATCGCTTACCATAAAGTGATTCGAATGCTAGTCTGACAACTATTCCATAAAAATAAATCTTCGAGTAATTGAGGAACAAACATAAAAACAATACAAGAGACTTGAGAACCTCCTCCATTTTTTTTGGAGTCGGTTGAAAAGCTATTGTCCAAGGTTGTTTGTTAAACAAGTAACTATAATGTTTATTCACTCATAGTTTGTTATATCATTGTATTTATTTAGGAACATAATAAACAGACGATGTTATCTTTTAACTTTTATGTCTATTTTTCTACGAAAACTGTTGGTACCTATTTGAGAACGCAACCTTTATTTTGTTCTGTTGGCAATAATTGTTATTGTTAGGTTGGCAACATTTCTTTTTTTTTCTCTCTCCCGCGTTTTTACTCTGGTTGACAGTTGTATGTAAAAGTCTGGCCCAATAAAACTATATTTTTCTGTATTCTAAACAGTTTATTTTAATAATCCATCTCTTAAAATCAACAAAAACATTAAACGTTTCTTCATTATAGCTGTTGTTGAACTTACTTTGCGTGATAAGACTAGTGAACCCTCTTTATACTCAACATCAAATCATTGATGTTATAGAAGTACTAAGTACTTATAGATTCGGAGTAGCGGAGAACCTAACGGGTTACCGGGGCTCCGGCTCGAAGCGCAGGAGAAGGAACAGGGTGGTTTTTAGTCAGTAAGAGTCTGACACTCCAGGCGGGAGAAGTCATTCGATGATTTTCTCCCCTTAAAAAAAGTACTTATAGAAGAAAATAACTTACTCTAGACAATAAAGTGAAAACAAGAAATGGATAACAATTAAGAGTACAAAGGACGGTCTTATCACTTCGAATGGGATCGCTATCAGTTAACTAATGTTTTTCATTTGCATAGAATCCCAGTATCCTTGCATAGTGAGAGATAGAAAGTGGGAAGATCGTCTCACATAACTTCTGAGTTTCGAATTGTTAATCCGAATTTTCTTTGGAATCTGATACCTACCTACGCATCCTTTCTAACTATACTATACCTTTCTAACTTCATACATATCTAACTGTCATAGATGCAAATGTTTGTGAGTTTGTGTGTTAGTATGTTTGTATCTATGTCTATGTTACTCAATCACGTAAAAACAGCTGTAGAGATCGGGATGAAATTCGGGACAAGGATAGATTATGGTCGGTATAATACATAGGCTACTTTTTATCCCACAGGCGTGCGAAACCGAGGGCAGAAGCAAATACATAAGAAATGATAAAAGTGTAGAATTTCTTGTCCATTCACTGACTTAAGGTAAAAGAAAAACCTTACAAACGGAGGTTTAATAAAAAAAGGTCTTCTGATACCCTCGCATTCAATCCCCTAGAACAAATATTTATCTTACGCAGACAGTTGATCAGTCCGTCTGTTTGTTTGCGAGTCCAGTGCGAAGGGTAACCTTTTAAAAAGAAGCTGTTGGTTCATCAAACAATACATAAATTACTATAAACCTCTCACTAATCTATCAAGGATTAAATGTTATGATAGTTACACACACAACTTTGTTTCCTAACTCCCAATTTCAGCCATTAAGCTGGGGTGATGTTGTATCAAATTACCCAAATCAACAAATCTTGGACCCTAAAATGGGATCAGATTTATCGCTCCCTAGAATATCAAATCATATTGCGTTGTAATCTGAATTAAAGGGTTCATTTTGAATATTTGTTTAGTTTATCTATCTTTAAGCCGAGCATTTAATTCTATGATCAAAAATATTGAAACCGAAGTCAAAATTCAATGGTAGTAAACTGTAAGAATTACAAGGAGTTTAGTCGTAAACAGCATTGTGGTCTATATGGATAAACGTGTGTCTATACTTCAACCACTGAACCACTCGAAAGAAAACAATTCGCTCGACCCCGTTACCCCATTACATGGGACTTGGACCTCGAACATTCCACTACTCGCGATAAATGAATAAAAAACGTAATAACTATTATGATAATGTAATAACATACTTATAAAGATGATTTTACAAAATGACTACAACAAGTTGTAATATGAAATGCACCATTAGATAACATTATGCCTCGTACAGGCACATCGAGCTATGAAAACCACTTTATCATAGCCTTGCTTTACATGATCTTTCTGCATAATTGACGGTCAGTTTATACTGGTTTCGTGTAGCTTCATGTGTCGCTTTCGTACCTGGGTGGTTGGCTATCCAGGTCAGCTGTTCGCGGTCGTGTTCCCGCCTCGGGCGCTACCATCTAAAGGCAAGAGGCTCTTACATTCTCTAAGAGTATCAATTTTAAACCGCTTAGACGACGTCATCTATATCGTCTTGGAAATGGGTTGTTTTTATTGAATTGTGTGCTGTCGGTATTTTGTTTTTTTTCTTTTGGATTTCAGACTTGACTGAGA